GCACATGTGTGATTTCTTTACAATTTACAAGAGTTTTAGAGCTCTTATCAAGTCACAACAGTTAATTTATATAAATGTTTGCGGTGTGACTTGGGGGTGAGTATACCTCTAATGATTTCACACTTCTTTCTTTTGATAACACCATAAACCAGTGGTCATGTATAGATACTCCTTAACAAAATTGTGTTGCGGAGAGAAGACAGAGACATCTTGTTAAAGCTACTTGCTCATTCTTTACTATCATCTAGTGTTCATAGTGTTTTTTTGGGAGAAACTGTACTAATTATTATCTACATGATCAATCGAATCCCTACTTCATATAACTTTGGTATGTCTCCATTTGAGAAGCTATATGGTCACTTACCTGATTACTCTTCATTACGAGTTTTTGGGTGCACTTGTTTTTGTAACACCGAAAGTTTTCAAACAAATTTTTTTCAATTTATATAAAACATAATTCCATTGATATTCATAAAACAACCATTTTAATTATCCAAACAAGACAATACAAAATCCCAAGATCATGATATCAAGCTCCGAATATGTGTGTGTACGGATCAAGCCGGCGCCTTCCCGCGGTCGTCACTAGTACCTGAAACAATAACATCAACACTGTAAGCACAAGGCTTAGTGAGTTCCCCAAAATACTACATATAACACATATTAGCCACTCGAGGCTATAACTCTGTGGGTCCGTGCACCCAAACTCTGTGAACCCTCAGGTTCTAACTCTGTGAACCTTCCGGTTCTAACTCTGTAAACATGCACAGCATCAATCACATAGAAGTAATGCAGTGCAACACATAACATACATAGCATACAAATACTCTATCACATAACTCTGATTACCTACTCAAGGTAAAGTATAGTGAGAAGACTCACCTCGCGTGTCTCGGTAAATCGTAACCTGAAATCGCTAATCGCTCGACCTGTCGAGCTGTCGTCTCCCTATAGCACAATACACCTCTAATTAACACTTTCCCAACTAGGGTTGACCACACTATAACAAGTCAATCTAGGTCAACGATGGTCAACGGTCAACGGTCAACTTTGACCGGACTCGGCGAGTGCACTATAGCGACTCGGCGAGTCTGAGCGCATGCACCAATTTCCCTGGAACCCTCCCCTGACACGTCGAGCATTTCCCTCAACTCGACGAGTTCCACCTGGCACGAGTTGTGGGGCCACCACGACTCAACTCGCCGAGTCTCAAGAACAACTCAGCGAGTCCAGTTTGACTCGGTCCACCTGTCCATTCTGACTCCCCCTTGACCCACTGAGTTCACCTTTCCCAACTCGGCGAGGCCACTCACAGAGTGGTCGGGCAACATTCATGCTACTCGCCGAGTCTGTTCTTCGGACTCGGCGAGTCCATGCCATGCACTGACTCAATCTTGCTCTAAAGGTCAGATCCAGTTCATTAATCCATAGATCCAGTCCCTCCAAGCTCATTTAGCACGTAAAGTTACAATCTTGATGCACATACAATCTCTATATGACTATATATGATGTTTATGACTCAAATATTACAACACAAGGTCAAGGACTCTGTTGCCACTCATAAAGCTTGATGAGTGAGGCTCTCTGGACCTCTATGGATCCAGATCCATGGCCTCAACTCAAAGAGGGAACCAATGGGCATCAAATCATCCCATAAATGACCATCACAAGCCCTAAATTGCATCATGCTTCATTAAACAGAAAATGGTCCGAGATAATACCTCTAGAGTGATGATCTAAGCTCCAAACCCACGAAATAGTAACCTCCTTTGCTTCCTCTTGCCTAGGGTCTTCTTCTTCTTGCTAAACAACACACACAAGATCAAGAATGGCTCTCTTCTCTTCACAAATCGCTCAAGAACTCTAAGGACACTCACTGAGGGTTGGGTGAGCACAAATGACGGCCATAAGGCCCTTTAAATAGGCCTCAAACCCGGAGATTTAGGGTTTCATTACCCAGCGCAGACTCGCCGAGTCCATATCCTGGACTCGCCGAGTCCAGGCGCGCTCCATTGCCCAAACCCGCGTCCCTACTCGGCGAGTCTGAGCTCCAACTCGCCGAGTCCCCTCTCACAAAACAACAAAATTAGATTTACAAGATACCTGGTAAAAATCCGGATGTTACAGTTTTGTTCTCCGCCCACATGTTGAGTGGAATAAGCTAATATCCACGATCAATCTTATGTGTTTTTTTGGGATATGGTATTGGTCAAAAAGGATATGGTATTGGTGAAAAAGGATCTCATTGTTTTCATCCGGTAAGTCAAAAAATTTATGTTTCTCGACATGTCACTTTTTTGGAGCATGTTTCGTTCTACTCGATTTCTGCTTAATCTCATAAAATGATACGATCAAATCTTTAAGTTTTTGATGATTTTTCTATTAATAATGACACTCCATATGATTCTCCAGTTCATGATACCACATCAGATGCCCTAGTTCTTATACTTCCACATACAACACTCATATTGTTCCTACACCTGTTGCGACTCCAAATCCTCTATCTCCAAGAAGGACTATTGGAACTCCTAAGTCACAAAGCTTTCAATATTTTAATATTCTCACTCGCTAGCATTTGCATCATTTATAGCTGATATACACCATCTCATTGATCCTAATTCCAAGAAATAGGAAGTCTCTTCTCCTTTTTGGAAAAATGTTGTGGCTAAAGAACTTACAGCCATTTATCTGACTCATACATGAGACCTGGTTCCTCTCCCACTCAAAAAACATACAATTGGTTGTTGTTAGGTATTCAAGATTAAAACCAATTCTGATGGGTACGTTGAACAATATAAGGCTAGACTTGTTGCAAAAGGGCATTCACAAGAGTATGGTATTGATTATGAGGAGACTTTTGCTCAAGTTACAAAAATGACGACCGTTCGCACTCTGATACTTGTTTTTTTCTATTCGATATTGATATGTGTGGATCCAAGTAAATTTACATGTAAATTTGAGATAAATTCATTTGTGAATCTCACAAAAATCATTCGTGAATAATCAAAACATTGAAATATTATCAATTGCAATCGAATATACTTCGATTCATTTGTAAATGTGAATAGTTATTCAAATGCACGTTTGAATGTAAGTAAATTACTTTGTGAGTCTCTCTAAATTAATTTGTGAATGATCAAAGTGTTGAAATAGAAAGTCGAATTAACATTTTGAATGCTAAAAACAGAATTATATAAAGTTCAGATTGTGCACAATCTGAACAAGACCAAGAAAAAAACTAAAAAAAATTTCGTATCGTCCATGTCTATTGATAGAGGACAAAAAGCAATAAGATATAATGCATAAACAAACTAAGTTTTTTACTATGATGCACTACATGCGCTCCTATGAACCAATAAACAACCTTCTGTTTAGCCTTTGATTGTTTGGATTCCATCGCTCACGGTTTGTTTCTTACGATTGGTTCCTTGGTTCTTGTATAATTATGTTTTTTATCAAAGAAATTTAAGAAGACAAAAAATGAATTTTGATTCAAATACATTTCTCCGAATTTTCATAAGGAAATCAACATGTTCTTGTTCCATTACACCAATGATGTTTAATCTTCAAGAACCTAAACAACCACTCTTTCAAAAAAAAAAAAAAGAACCTAAGCAACCATTGTATTTTCCCTGATGAGGGTTTTCTATCATCTTAAAGAGATTCCCTGGTTGGAAATTTGCAGATTATGAAAAGATACTAGATCAAAATAGAGTATAGAAAAAACCCGGATAGATGATCAGACATATATAAGGTTCTATAAATCAAATTCTCAAGGAGAATAGTGAAACATAAATAAAAAGGGTAACATGTTGATGGTGTTAGTAGAGCAAGGGTGCGACAATGGTGAGTAATGTGGCTGTAACCAGCGGTGAGGAAGAGCTTCTTCTCAGAAAGTGGAGCCTTTATAAAACTCCTTTATATGTGAAGAAAGACTTAAATATATAAATGACTTAATTCTACCATGTGGAGTCGAAGCCTTATCCATGTCAACATCATTTTTTCTTAATGATAAACATTAGCTAAGATACCAAAAAATGTTAGAATCCCTAAATGTGATTGCAGTTGTGTGAGCATCAAGAGCGAGTTTACGTGTTTCATTTGAACTACCATTATACAATTCTAGAGTTTTTTTGAGTTCATGGAGTAGTTCGTATTGCATAATAAAGGCTTCGGGGGAAGTTGTTAGTGCAAAGCTTAGGGCGTGACGCTTGGCAAAGTTGTAAGAGTGAAACTGAAGACTATGGACAAGGTCAAAAGCAACCATGAATTAGCTAATGTTGACGATATATATGCTTGTAACCCGAATGTTGAAAGTGTGTATTATTGACCATCAATACAATCTTTCTCTAGTTTGCCTGCAAATGTAGCTTGATTACTCTGATCAAGTGAACAAAGTTAAATCCGTGTGTTATTATTGTCCATTTAGAAGCAAAACTAAGCACAGAAATGCAATTTTGGTCATCGGTGCATACATGGCTTCGACCTTTAGTGATCAAAAGAAGGTCCAAACTCTAAACTTTGAAGCGCAGGTTATGTTGGTGATGTCATAGAACCACGAGCCGCGGTACAGAGCCATGAGAGAAATTAGGTCAAATGTTTAATGTAAATAGATGTGCTTGTATGATTGTAACCCTAATATTGAAAGGGTGTATTATTATTTATCAATAAAATCACTCTCTATCTTGATTACTCTGATATAGCGAACCAAGTTAAATCCTTATGTTCTTATTTTCGATTTAGTACCTTCTTAATTATCATGTTTGTGTTTGTCGAAGTCCTTGATCATAACAAGTTCATGAATAATGTTATAGGAATTCAAGTGTTGGTGACTATTTGCTTGCATATCCAATAATCTACGATGAATTTATATTGTGATAGATGATTTTTGTTTTTTATGATGTATAGAACTCTTGCTTGCATATCCAATAATCTTAGTTCGTTATTATAGTATTACAATGATTCTCTGGTACTGAATAATTGTTAATATCTTTTTACAGTTCAGGTTAGCATTCTTTTCACCTGAATCAAGAGTTCTAGGTGCTCCAGAATTGGTTGATCATCCTAGAAAAACGGTGTTACATTATCTTTCTGGGTATTTTTTCCTTGACCTATTTATTGTACTACCAATTCCTCAGGTAAGATTCTCTTTCAAGCATATATATCGTCACTTACCATTATCATTTGTACATTCCTCAAAAAGTTAATTACTCGTCCATGTAGATAATCGTATTATTTATCCTACCAAATGCCATTGCATCATTGGGAATAAATTATGAAAAGGATCTTTTGCGAGCAGCTGTTCTTGTTCAATACATTCCAAGGTTATTCCGAATTTCCAAGCTTATTGATGGCATGGGTGCAAGTGGTTACATTCCTTGGTCAGGATACTCGCTGGTTATATCCAATCTTCAGATTTTCGTCTCGGCTGGTCATTTTGTAGGGTCATGTTGGTATTTGTTAGGTTTACAGGTGGGTGGGAGCAGGAGTTTTTCATGTTTTATGCATGATTTCATTGCATAATAAATCTAAAGAAACAAAAAAAGCTCCTATATCTTAATCACACTATCATTTTTATGACACCGAGTTCTTTTTTTTTTATATATATATATATCTATATATATATATAAATTTAGTCACACTATCATTTACTGCAAGACAAAAAAAAAAGATTAGTCATTGATTGCTAAAGTCGAATTAGCGAATCAAGACATGAATACTGTTGAAAAAATATATTTGTTAATTGAATTCATCCATGTTATTATTGCATTAGTTCATAAAAGTTTGTAGGCTATTCTAACTGTTTTTCTTTAATTCTTTCAAGAGGGTGAATCAATGCCTTCAAGACGCTTGCCATAATTCTACAATCATGCATTGTATGAAGTTTATAGATTGTGGGAAAGGGAAGGAGTCTTGGGCCTTTGATGGTGATCAAATATGGAATAAATGGAAACAAGATAAAAATTCGAGTGCATGTTTTACCGAAGATGGTTTCCCGTATGGAATTTATGTGAAGGCTGTGAATCTTATTGTAGACAATAGTATGATCACAAGATGTGCGTACTCTATGTTTTGGGGGTTACAGGTATTTTATCTTTAATTGACTCTCTCTTCCCTTTTTCTTTTATCAGACCCTTTTTATTCGTCTCTCGACACCTTCTTACATTTTTCTAATTAAAGATGGGATTTAAGCTATTTCACATGTGCATTCCTTGTTATTTGATGTATAGCTAGCATGTCAATAATCCATGTTATGTTCTTAACGGTTTACTTTTTCGGGTTTTTGGCACTCTATATATTCTCTTTTTGTGACAAAGTATTTTTTTCATCCTCTTTAACATGGTATGAGGGCTTGCAAATTCAAAATATTAAAAAAACAATCCTTGATTCCATTGGTAAAGCAACAACATACTATTGGTAATATGTGATTTGGAATTCTCTATAGGTTGTTTCCCCTTTCCTCTCCTTAGAATTAGGCAAGTTACCTATTATTATAAGATATGCATCTAATAAGATTTCATAGTTATCGGAATAAGTATTAGATGAGTAGTCTATTAGTTTTCTTCTCTATAAATAGCCTTATAGTTTGGTATCAATTCATTATATAATAATTATTCATATATTTTGAACTCCCTTCTCCCTTCATTGATTATAATAAAATCTTTCATGAGCCTTGGGGTTTTTACCTGCAACGGTTTGCACACAAACCATTGTGTCGTTTCTCTTTACTTCTACTTGTTTCTTATATTGTTGATTAAAAGAAGTGGTATCAGAATCACATTCCGTCAAGAAGCAAGCGTTATTAGCACAACCTGACTATGAAGATGCGTTAGATATATGAAGAGAAAAAGAAAGGCCATACAACTCTAACTTAATTAAACCAACTCCATTATGCATAACAAAAGATCTCACTGGTAAAATTCATTTCAAATAGAAGTTTTTTAAACAAAAATGCACAATAGAGGATGCATGTCGAACCATATTTCAAATTTAAAGAAATCATTGCCGACCTAGCTCCGATGGAAGTCAAGTATGGAGAGGAATATATGGTTTTAATGATGTTACATTTTCTGCCAAGCTCCTGTTCCTTATTCTATATGACATTTTTGAGGCCCAAGATTCAAAGAGCAGGCAAAGTAAAATGGTGGCTACTAATGGCTTAAGTAGTTTACAAGCTGATTGCTTGTGTGTTCATGGCGATCAATGAGAACAAATCAAATAATGGATCTCGAGATAAAGAGGCCAATCAAAATCAAGAGGCAAGTTCAAATCATGCAAATGTTGCAAAAAGAAAGAGCAATACATAATGTGTACATGTTGTAGAACAAGGAAAAAGGAATAGCTCAAACAAATTGAAAGATAACAAAGCAGATGATTTTATGAAGTGTGTATGTGATAGTAGTTCAAAATATGAGAGGTTCGTGTTGTAGGATATTCTTACATGAATGACGTGTTGTAGAACAAGGAAAAAGGAATAGCTCAAACAAATTGAAAGATAACAAAGCAGATGATTTTATGAAGTGTGTATGTGATAGTAGTTCAAAATATGAGAGGTTCGTGTTGTAGGATATTCTTACATGAATGACGTGTGGGTTCTTGATTCCACTTGCACCTATCATATGCCTAGTTTTTGACTACTCGAAAGAGTAAAATGTCTACTCCGTGACTCGATTCATAAGACCAATGATTATATATATATATATATATATATATATATATATATATATATATATATATATATATATATATATATATATATATATATACATGGAGTATAACACACATGAAAGACATAATATTGGTTCAATATTAATGCATGCTCACCAAAATATTACAGCTTCGCTATTTATGAGTCTGACTCACAGTTTGCCACCATATACATGTGGCATGTGCAAAAATCATACAAAATAATATATCGTATCCACAAAATAATACAACTTTTGAGCTATTAATAAAGCAAATGGAAAAACCCTTACTATCTTCATCTCCATCCTCATCATACTCAACTTCAACTCATCTTTTGTATTACTCACAATAATTGTTGTTCTTTTGTCATTTATAACCGACACCTTTTTTACATTCCTCAGTCCTAAAACAATTAAAAGTATCTTTATGTTTAACTATTTTATAAACTAAGGTAATATAATATATATGCTTTGTATATCAAAGTATTTACCTCTATTTTGTTTTTTTGTTACTAGTCCCCATCCTCTTTAAAGCATTAGTGAACATCCATCAACGGGATATCTTTAGGGAGACATGCATCCTCGTAAGTTTCTCCTGGTTTTTGTCTCTTTTGATGCCTTTTATTAGGGTTAATGTTGTATTTCACAAAGACTAAAACATTTAACCTCTGTTTCTTCAAAAAGAGGAGTACATAATGAAATGTGCCCCAATTCCTCTCACATCCTATGACACTACATGTGAGATTGAACATATGAATGGCTAGATGCTGAAGTTTTAGACACTCATCTCCATAGTGTCTCCACGACCATGTTGGTTGGATCTTCTTTCTTATTGAAATGGTTGCGGATAATTAAACCAAACATTCCTATTCTGTCATTGAACTTATCAAGTTGTTCTTGAATTTTTATGTTTGTTGGTCTGTCATACATCTTCTCAATAACGTAGTACAATCCAAGTTTGACTTCATAATGGGCCCAAAAGTTCTCATTGAAGTGAAGGCTATTTTTGAAAATTATGGTAAGATATTAGTTTACTATATATAAAGTAAATTAATATGTAATTTCAATCTCATGAACAAAAGTCAGACCTTGGATGAAGATGGTATCCCACATGAAGGGACCTATGGGGTTGCATTTGCCACCTACGATCAATCCTTTTCACAAAGGGGTCGATATCTTGTCTCAACCCCATTAAAATTTTTGAATTTTCCTCATGGTCTTCCCCGTCCGTAGGCTATGAGGGCATATTAGACTATATATTACACATGTTTAATTATCTTAGTCAAGAGGGTAATTAGATGTAATATCCATCCCATGATCCCAATATTACATACATATATACCTCGTGTAATCCATTATTTACAATCAAATGCGAATACATGACCTTACATAGAATATTAGTTACCATGGTTTTACTAAATTCTGAAAGAATAAGCTTACTTATTCTGAAAGAATAAGCTTACTTATTTTTCATCCACCTCTCATGAATTTGTATTTTTTACTCACATCAAACTTAATAAGAGAGTTCCTTCTAATCCTTTTCATTTGCTGATGATTGTGCCACAGCAAATCAGTACATTGGCTGGCAATCAAACTCCAAGTTATTTTTTCTGGGAAATCCTTTTTACCATGTTTATCATTGGTGTTGGACTTCTACTATTTTCCTTTCTGATCGGAAGCATGCAGAACTTTCTTCAAGGTCTCGGTCGTAGGTACACCAATTAGTAGGAAACTTATGCTGCTTATAACCCTCACTGATTTATGATATTAGTAGTTCTTCAATATGAATGATCCATGGACATTTAATATTAATTATCGTAGAGAAATGGAAACATTAGTTAGACGACGTGATGTTGAAGAGTGGATGAGACACGAGAACTTACCAGAAAACCTACGAAGGTACAAATCTCATGCCTCATTATTTTCATCAATCACAGTAATTAATCATTAATGCGCAATTTCCTTTCTTAGTAAAAGTTCAAATTTAACATGAAGCTTTAGGCTGTAGTTATTACTCCGGACTGGACTCCAGAACCTTTCTAGGGCCATTCTAACCTTGTTCCACGTTTTGGGTGTTTTAGTTATGTCCTTTCCTGTCAAAAGATTCTTTCTTTTCCATTGTGATTTGCATCAGGTAGTTTTGATGTCTATTTGGTCAAAACTTGACTATTTAAGGTCTTGATATGCAGAAAAGTTCGAGAGTCGGAGTATTTTAATGGGGCTGCTACCCAAGGGATTGATGGAGAAATGCTAATGCAGAATTTACCTGAAGACTTGCAAAGAGATGTTCGCCATCACCTCTTTAAGTTTTTCAAGAAAGTAAGATCGATTAAACCATTTCTATGTTCCTGTTAGAAGAAGGTTACATGATCACTGATCATTAAAGCTGCATCTCAACCTTTTAAATAATCTGTAGGTCCGGATTTTTGCGTATATGGATGAACCACTTTTAGATGCAATATATGCACGGTTAAGGAAAAAGACATATATTAAAGGAGGCAAAGTTTTATATATAGGTGGGGTTGTGACGAAAATGGTTTTTATTGCAAGAGGGAAGCTGGAGATCATAGTAGAAAATGGGAATAAAGTTCTGTTGTCAGAAGGCGATGTATGCGGTGAAGAACTTCTCATATCGTACTTTGAACATTTCTTAGTTAATAGAGGTATAAACTAGTCTGGATGGGGAGATAACGATATAGTGGATTGCACTTTTACTTAATTTCTAATTGGAATATAATAAACTTAGTTAGTAACACCATTGTACCACCCAAAATTGACTTTTTAGGTAACTTTGACCAAAAACTGTAAAATGCAGACATGGGCGAATGGATTTAATAACAGCTGTCAGAAATTGGACGGTTTTGGAAACAATTTTTAAAGTCTGGCCGCAAAATTAGAAATGAAGTGAATATGTATCCGCTAACTATTGTGATTTCCCATGTTGGGTTTAATAACCATTTTTTCCATTCACTACACATAATGCATATAAAGTGTTACACCCTTTGCTTTCTTTTAAAGATTTTGATGTGTTTTTTTCCACTATAAATTGTTACCTTTAGATACAAGAAACCATAGAAAACAAGGAAATGTTTGAAATCAGGCCCGCAATCACTCTTTGAACACCGATCAAAACAGCAATTGTTTATATTACTTTCAAGAAAACTAATTACCCTCTGGATTAAACCAACAGGAAAAAGATTGATTAGCAACAGAACGGTGAAATGCTTATCGAATGTGGAGGCATATGTTATTTGGGTTGCAGAACTTGAAGAAGTAACCAACCTTTTTTCTGAATACTTCAGGAATCCTCGTTTTCAGTATGCCATAAGGTAATACATCTTCTACACAGTATTTGATGCACTGTTTGTTAGTTGATATAAGTGAAAGATTAGAGGGAGGGAGGGATTTGTAAAATATTTATAAGTGAATAGGGATATTAAAAGTAATATTACACGTAATATAAGAATTTTATTAAGGCCAATCCATAATGTTCTTTTTACTGTTGAGTATCAGTTGCGTTATTTTAATGTTGAAATTTGTAAAAGGAAATTGAATGAAGTCGCGTACTTAAACTACTGTTTGATTAATATTGTCACTGTTCCAATAAACCTGAAATAATTAATTGCTACATGTCAAATTAATGTGATACCTTTTAATATAAGCATGTGATCATCACTAAGTTGTTTCAGTTTATGCTTAAAAAATGAAAATGTATCTGAATGTTCTGGATCAAAGCCGATTGTTCTAGGACACGCATGTGGGGACAGGTTCTAGTAGTTTCACTTCCAAATGGGAAACACCAGCATTGTTCACATTTACTTTATAATAATTGTCCAATTGTTTAGTATACATAAGCTATATGCCAGATTATGGTTTCTGTTCCTGATAGCAATTAAAATAAATTCAGTTTTTATAATTACATGCTTTACATGTTTTGCTACCTTCAGGAACAAATCCCTATACTGGCGAACCATGGCGGCAACCACTATCCAGGTGGCATGGAGACACTATAAGAAGCGCCAAAACCGTGCAAAAACCTCACGTGGTCGTACTATTCTGCAACCACTTTAATGCTCTAAATGGTTTTCTTGGTTTAAGAGCTTGTATTAATATGAGTGAGACATACATTCCACAGGAATGGCTGGAATTTGGTGATATTGGTGCAAAATGCCTCTAAGGTGTGTGTTGACATTCCTTCATTGTGTTTGTGGATTATAAAGTCATTATTATGAGATGTATATAATTAATATCAGTTCTGCGTAGCTAGACACTTACGCCGTAGGCGTCTCAAAGCTTTTCAAGTCATCTTTGCATGTTTTCCTTTGGCATAAGGTTTGTACAAATTAAGTATTAAGCTGATGTTTGTTTTTAAAGAGATAAAAGGTCTTCTATCTACACACCAAATCTGCCTAAATGTTAAATGGCATTATCCTGAAAAGTTAAACTAATTAAACATTTAAAAAATAAGAATATGACTTTAAATTATAAAACAAAAAGGATAAATATCTAATACATTAAAACATTTAACTGATATCTATCATATGTTAGTCCGGTTTTATAAATCGTCTTTATTTTGAAAATGATTTTAAAAATCCAATCCCTATTCTAATAAAAAATATGTTTATTCTTCTTTTGTCATGTATCATCGTATTATGTTTTCTAATTAATGTCATGTCATTGTCAACCTATTGATTCTCCATATCAGGGTTCAAAGTTTAAATTCTCTACTCTAATTACATTAAACTAATAACATTAGAGTAAAAAATAAAATAAATTAATACATATTATAAGGTCATGTATTTAATTTATCTAAATCAACGATTATATAACTAAAAAATATATCTTTATTAATAATTTATTTAAAATAACTTATCAATAATTTTGAGTTTTTAATATGAAAGTTTAATTAATTTTATAATTGTAATTCTCACGGGTTATAAATTACTATTTAATATGATATGCAATAAGAAAAAATACATAACAAACCCATTATAACGTAAAAAAAATTGTTGTGAATCGCAATAAGATATTAATTATGAGCAATGATTAATGAGTTAAAAAATACCGTAGTTTACTATTCAACGTAGCAAGAAAAAAATGTATATTTTTAAAATATGTGAGAAGTTGTTATTGAATGTCTTAAAGAAGAGGGTGTACAAATCATTTTAGGTTTGCGGTCTTCTAAAAATAAACATGATATGAGTTAAAATGTTTGTGCGGTGAAAACAAAAGTGGTGATCCCTCACTAATTTACAACGGAATTAGGTTTCAGCGAGGGTAATAATTCCTCCTGACGAAGGATTTACGAGGGATTAGCGAGGCAACGATATTTCCAAACTTTAATTATTTCTCAACAAATTTGCGACAACTTTGAAAGGAATTACTAACATAACCATCGATGGAATAGGCCTTTCTTTCAAATCTGATCATCCCCTTTTGGCCATAGGGACCTCGTGGCATACAACCGGAATGACTCCCGCTAGATAGCCGCCCCTTTCTCTATTTTTACAGCCTCGGGTCGCTTAGACCGCACAGAGTGGGCTTTGCTTAAGCTCGGCGAATCCGAGGTGGACTCGGCAAACACCGCGCTGCCACCTCGGTAAGCTCTACTCGATGTCGATATTCAGTGAGTTTATACCGAGTATAAATCCCACACTTCAACCAATGAGCAATGGCTCCTGTTTTAAATTCAATCCTAATCCGTTCATATACCACATCAAAACAATCTTCTACACTCTCTCTAAAAATGTCATCTTCATCTTCTTCATCGTTGGATTTTTTTGATGTGTTGCTTGAATCGACCATAGAGGTCATCCAAGAGGCTAAACAGAAGATAGAAGAGCTACATTAACAAAATGCCAAAAATTATTGCTTAAAAAAAGAAGGTTCATACAAAGAATTCGTGAAGCAGCTCGCTAACGCCTCATGCAAGATAATTTCGAAGAACATGTAACTTTTCAAGGATATTATTTTCGTAGGCGGTTCTGTATGCACGAACATCTATTTTAGTGTATCGTTAACGACGTTATACCAACATGTCTATATTTCAAATAAAGTGCAGATGCTAGAGGTATATCTGGTTTTACTGTTTTACAAAAATGCACCACCACACTTCACCAACTAGCATATGTGACTTCCCTCGATGCACTAGATGAGAATCTTAGGATGTTTGGACGTACTGCATGAAAAAGACTTTAAAAAATTTGGGTATATCATTTGATTGTATGGTCCACGATATTTGCGCAAACGTACCTGCAGTGACATCCAATAATTATATGCTCATCATTCAAATGTAAACGACTTCCATGGAATGTTAGGAAGCCTAGATTGCCTCCACTGGGAATGGGGCAGTTTCCCAAATGCAGATCAAGGTTAATACACCTGAGGTGATCATGGTTATCCAATTATCATACTGGAAGCGGTAGCCTCATAGGATTTGTGCTATGGCACACATTTTTTGGTTCTGCTGTCCCTTCAATGACGTCAATGTTCTTAACATGTATTCATTATTCGACGACATGTATAACGAGACTACACCAAATTCTTTGTTTGATGTACATGGAATATCATATAGGTACGGGTATTATCTTGTGGATGAGATTTATCCGGAGTGTTCTTGTTTTGTAAAGTCATTGTCTTGTCCTAATGATCGAAAAATGTTGAAGTTTAAGAGAGATCAAGAGAAGGACAGGAAGGCTGTTGAACGAGCGTTTGACGCTCTTAAAAAACGTTGGCATATACTTAAATACCCTAAGCTTTTTGTTGACGAGGAGAAAATGGATGAGGTTATGTATATTTGTATCATATTGCGTAATATGATTCTCAAAGATGAAGGAAGTGCAATATGTGAGTTTAATGAAAACGAGATCATTCCACCAACACAAACATTTGAGGTTGGAAGCGACAAACACTTGATGAGAAGATTAATAAATAATGATATTGAGGCCCATCATGTTCTTCATAGAGATCTAACATAACATATTTAGACCGTTGACCACATCAATCATAACGCAGAACCGGTCGATGATTTAGACGACTAATTTTTCGATGAAGATTCCTTTACATGTATCTATATTTCGTTTTTTAATATCTAGGATTTTGTATTTTTAAATTTTATGCTTTTTTATTTGTTGTTTTTCCGTTCAAATTTATTAGTTTTAAAATATTTTTTAATTAATTTCTTTTATTATAAATTAATTTTACAAATAGCATGGCAAGGATGACAACTCACTTCCTGTAAATTTTACATGATAGTTTTGTAGCAACATGACAAATCCTATGTGGCGCCTAGTGGACTATAGCAAGCATAGCATCATTCCCTACAAACTTATTAATATTCATTCCCTCCAATTATTTCATTCCCCAAATTCTTTCACTTGAAAAGATTATTTCAACGTTCCCTCCACATTGTGAAAAGTTCCTCCTCTCACTTGCTTTCCCTCTTCAAAATCGAAACCCTTTTACCCTAAATCCTAATTGGCCAATTTTTCTAGTTCCCTCTATTTTCTAAAACTCCTCCTCCCACTCAAAACTACTTTGTATCCTAATCGTGTGGTTCCCTCCTCCGTATTACCCTCTTTATTCATAATCAAAATTGTTACAATTGACATAAGACCCTCTTCTCATGGTGTGTTATCTGCCTGCGGCCACCATCACATACTGATTTCCTTACTCAACATTGGGACCCCTCATTATCCTCTTTGATACTACCGCTCTAACTCATGTAATATTTCACACACACTTTCCTTTTGTTATAACCAAAGAAGTGGTTTTTCAGAGTAAAATATCTACTTCTTTCAACAAATTTGCGTTCAAGTTTTTTGTGGTTGCTTATTATGAACCCTAATTGATCATTTACCATGGTTTTTTTTGTGTTGTTTAATTAAATATCATCAAGAACTCGATGACCTTATTCTATTATAGATCATGGAGAGGAAGTTGTATTTCTAGTCGATAAGTAATAGACAGTTATGATAGAGACTAGAATTAGAAGGATACAAATTGAAATTATGTAGTTTATATATATCGTATGTAATCTATCGGTAATAATAGACAATAGAATATTTTACCAAGATTATTATGGTATCAGAGCTTGTCTATGCATAAACCTAATCGGCACCTAACATCTCTTACTGTCGATCAAACAATAATCAACAATCTCAAGCCTTCTGAATCTTCAACAACGACAATAACAAGTCTTCTGATCCTTCAACAACAATCAATAATCCAACACACAGGTTCTGTTACTCTTTCTTTTCATCAACCCTCATTTTTTTTTCTGATTCTATTCGACTGAACAATGGATTTGATTGCTGCATTCACCACTGTTGAGAAAACTTCTCACAACTCTCACAAATTCGAATTTACTCCCTCCCCAACCAACTATGGTTTTTGCAAAATAATGATTCATCCATTCCTTCTCACAAACAATCTGATTGGATATGTTGATGGTACCATTCCATGTCCATCACCATTGGTTGAACAAACCTCTTCATCAGAAAAAGAGCCTGTCACGACATCCCAACCAAACCCTAATTATCCTATATGGATTTCTAACGACGCTCATATTAGGATGTTGATCATCTCGACGATCTCAGAGGCTGCTTTTCCTCATGTTCAAGGTACCTCTACATCTCACGAAGTCTGGCTTTCCTTGGAACGAGCATACGCCCCTCATACCTTCTCCAGGGAATATACCCTAAAAAATAATTACTAAAGAGATGAAGGGAGACAAAACATCCTCAACATATCTCAATCGAGCAAAGGAGTATGTTGATGTTTTGGCTAATATCGGTGAACCTTTAAAAGAGAAAGACCTTATCATGCTTGCTATTGTAGGTCTTCGTGCCGACTACAATGGATTAAAGTTGACTCTTCTTGCTCGACAGGTTCCTACATCCTTCAATGAATTGAATGGTCTGCTATATGATCATGATTACATGATTAAATAGTCTGTTCCTGTTGTCCCACAACCATAGGTTTTTCACACAAATTCTAATGGAACAACTTCTGCAACAATCCCCTAAGAACAGGACTCCATGCAAGCTTTAACTCAACTTGTTTCCCAATTTGGCTTCAAACTACAACCTACTAATCAACAATGTCAAGAATTTTTCACTTCTTATTCTCCAAACAACCGCGGACATGGTCGCTTT